ATCCTTCCCTCTTCTTTCACTCTGCCCTTCTCCTTTTAAGGGAGTTCAGCTTGGGCCGGGCAGAACCCACCTGCCCCTAATCTAAGCGCCCTCCCACTAGAGCCAAGCAGACCACGAGCTTTCTCCAGGGTCTTCACCGCCTGATCCGTGCTCGATCCATCCGGCTCTAGATCCAAACCTACCCCCCTGGGGCCCGACTGGTCTCTAACGAAACTGGATCACACTCCTTGTACAGCTTCACATTCGGCCCAGACTTGACCTGACCAAGATTTCTTCAGCGGCTGCGGTCACCTCCGGCTCATGGTCCCCACCCTTGCCTAGTTCCTTACCTTCCTCCCTCCCCCTCCCCTCCCCTCCCCTCTTCACACTTCCTCCCCTCCCTCCCTCACTGCCCTGCCTTGCCTACTCTTCCATCCCCTCCGTCCCCTCCCTTCCACCCATCCCTCCCTTCCTGCTCCTCTCCCCCTCCTTATCCCCCACCCCCCCCCCTCTCAGCGATCTCTCACCTCGTGGACCAACATCTTGATGGCGTCGGCTTGAAGGGCGGGGGTCCTCTCGGCGATGAACTTGAGCCTGATAGCCCTGGTCCTCCCGGTGTAGTTGGAGATGTAGCCCTCCAGGTCGAAGTTGGCGGAGGGTGTGATCTCCGTGATCTTTTCCTCCCTCATAGTTTCGCTCTCCACCCCCTCCACCGTCTCGTCCATGTCCTGCCCGCCCGCCGTCAGCGACCTCGGGCCAGGGCATGCAGGGCTCACCATCAAGCTGCCCGTCAGGTTGCTCATGGCCGACTGAGGGAAGGAGTGCTCTACCCAGCATGAGGTCAGAGCCCCGTCACGCAGGGATTCACAGCATTGTTGTGCACCAAACCTTTCACCTCCTTGTTGCCCCATCCTTGCCTATCCCACTGCCCCGTTATCTTCCTCCCCTTCTAGGATATCCTTGCTCTCCTTCTCCTTCTCCTTCTTTCCTTCTCTCTCCTCCCTCTCCCTTCTCCCTCTCTCCCCTTCCCGCCCCACCTCCCTGATCACCCTCCTCATCCGCTTTCATGCATTCTTCTGACCACCCCCACCCACAATAATCCCGTTCAAAATACCCCACCGGCTTCCCCTGAAATTCCCCTTTCAGTAGGGCACCAGTACAGGGAAGGAAGGACGGGGGGGATAGAGGGGGAAGGGGATGGGCAGGGTCAGGAGGACAGGAATGCACACTGAGAAGAGCAAACGAGGCATGGAAAGTGAGAGGAGGAGGAAGCAGATTCTGCTCGAGCATTTTACTCGATCCCCATGAACCCTTCGCTGCCGCAACGTGTCTGGACAGACCCCCTTGCGGTAGGACAAGAGCGAGAGGCCGCTGTGCTGTTTGCAAGCACCCGCGCACAAGCACAAATCGGCGTCTTATCGTTTACTAGGAAACCATCTCCTAGCACATTTCCTTTGCACGAGAGCAAAGGAGGTGAAAACCTTTCCATCTCCCGCCCTGTCGTTCTGACCACGTACCTTGTCTACAAACAAGATCTGTAATCTCTCAGCTTGCTCCATCTCAATCAAGGGTTCAGTCAGAATCAACGTCGTTGTCTTCTTCTCATCTTCTCGAGGAAGGGACGGCGGCTCTTGCGTCCGCCGACAGCATCCCACTGCCTCCTACCGATCTACTCGCAAGTTTCTCTTGTGCTCGCAACTTGAGATGAAGTTGTTGCCTCTCATGGTGCTGATAGCGCGACATGACAAGAACTTAGTGGTAGCCGGGGAGCGTGACGAAGACTCGGAAGTGACGATCCAAGTTTTCTCCTCCTCCTCCTCCTTCCTTCCTCCTCCCTCCCTCCCTCCTCTCCTCTCCTCTCCTCTCCTCTCCTCTCCTCTCCTCTCCTCTGTATGATCTTCTCTCTCCCAGCTTTTTGGCCCATCTCCTCTCGGCATTGGCCCTCATGCCACCTGTTCTCTGACAGACCTCTCCGTTGCCCCAACGAAAGAAAAACAATGAGATGACTTTCGCGAATAAAAGGGAAAGGGATGAGCTTTGAAGATGTTAGTGAAACATGATGTTAGTGTTAGAAGTAAGGACAGGATGTACACTAATGATGATATTTTCTTGCCTTTGCGATAAACACTGTTTTGTTTGTTTGTTGTTGTTTTTCTTGTCCTTTTCTTTCTTTTTTCTTTTACTATAAAAAAAAAACAGACTCAAGGGCACATGTGTGTCATGTGTCATCCAATCAAAGCTCAATCTTTCCAAGGATCTTCGGCATTGTTCTTCCCCAACATTCTTTCTTCTTCCAACATTCTTCCTTCTTCCTCGCCGTCTACATATTTCCCTCCCTCCACTCGAGTCGGAGTTTGGTCTCACTGAGGAGTTTGACCGCTGAAAACAGGGGGGTAGGGGTCATCTTAGGGTGGGTGTACATTTTCGATCTAGGACCTTTTGACTTGCATTTTGCCTAAACTTATAGGGTACTCACAAAATAGAGTGGGTAGGGGGTTATGAAATGGTGGGTGGGTGGTGATGAACAGTTACCTCGGATCGGCCGGACTCTTCAGATTCACGGAATTTGGAGGTGGGGTAGTGTAAAATGGTGGGTGGTTGATTATGTTTTGTAGGGGTATATGATGTCGACCTGACTTGGAGGATGGGTGGGGGTATTAGGCGGAGGAATGGCGATACGAGGCTCATCGTGGAATGCACATCGTTTGAAGAATGCAGAAGGAGAAGGAGAAGGAGAGGTGGAGAATAAGAGGAAGATGAGGACCAGAGTGAGCTAGCGGGAGGCTGGACATGAATCTGTATGAGAGCTTGCAGCAGTTTTGCTACTAAGAACAGAATGCGATGGCAAATTGATCCCCGCATTTCCATTCTCATCTCACGTATTTTTCAGGTGTGAATGCTCGAGAACGCCTGAGCCTGTTCTAGACTTTATTGTGCAACTTTGATTTGACACGGGAGGAGCAGCGGTAGAGTTCTTGTATCATGTCCACCATCACAGACCCCACGCAATCTGCTCTCGTCCGAGGAATGCTCCAAGCGTATGTCGCCAACAATGCGACTGCATTGAGCGCCTTCGTGAACGCTGAGATGGCACAAGTCAATGTTGCATGGATGTTGATGTGCGGTGAGAGCTTATCCAACTTGACTCGTTTGCTGTTCTGACTCTCTCAACAACTTAAGGGTTCTTCGTCGTCGCGATGCTCGTTGGCTACGTTGTCTTGGAGGCAGGCACCGTCAGGACAGGGCAGATGGACTTCGTCTTTACCAAGAACTTCACCATCGTGTGCTTCACCTTCTTCTGCTACTGGATCATAGGGCACGCGCTCGCCTTCGGTAAAGATGAGGGAGGATTCTTCGGTACTACCGACTTTGCCGACTCGGACATGTACTACTACAGCGCCAAGATCACTGGTGCCCACCGCTGGTTCTTCCAGAGCTCCTTCTCGGCGATCGCCGCCGTCCTTCTCTTCACCTCGTTGCAGGAGCGAGTCGACTTGGCCTCCACCCTCGCCTACACCTTCTTCTTCAGCAGCTGGGTTTGGCCCGTCATCGCCCACTGGATCTGGGGACAGGGTTGGCTGTCGGCATGGGGGGCATACCCCAACAGCAACGGAGTGCCTCGCCCGATCTTCAAGTACAGCGAGTCCTCCAACGGCTTCATCGACCATGCGGGCTCAGCTGTGGTCCACCTGGCCAGCGGCTTCTCGGGGCTGGTCGGTGTGGTCGTGCTGGGGCCGAGGAAGAGACGCAGCACTAGGGAGGCGAACCCTGTGATACTCGCGCTGGGAACCCTCCTGGTCTGGTTCGGGAGCTTCGGATCGTACGCAGGGTGGACGGTCTTCATCTCGGAGGGAAGGTCCAACGCAGCAGGCAAGGTCGTAATGAACACTGCCATCTGCTGCAGCTCTTCAGTGATCTTCTCGACGCTCATCACCTACATCTTCGATAGAAAGCTCAACTACATGTCAATAATCAACGGAGTTCTCATCGGCCTCGTCGCTATCAGTGGAGCTTGCTCGGTCGTCAAGCCCTGGTCTGCCCCTCCTCTGCTCTGCTCTTCTCCTCCTCTCCTTGCCTTCCCCTCCCCCCTTGGTAATTTTTGTCAGGGATTCCTAACGCTGAGCAGGATGGCATTCTTGATCGGTCTCGGAGCTGCCGTCTTCCTCTTCGCAGGGCACACGATGCTCGAGGTTCTCAGTCTCGACGACCCGCGAGAGGCCTGCATCGTCCATGGCTTCGGCGGGCTGTGGGGCTCGTGGTCAACTGGAATCTTCTGCACGGACAGCAACGTCAGGTACGCGGGGTACCCCAACGTGAACACGGCGTGCAGGTCAGGAGAGCAGTTCGGAGTTCAGGTCGTTGGGACCCTTGTGGTCATCCTGTGGGCCTCGGCCTTTGCCGGCATCTTCTTCTTCGTCATACGGATGTCCGAGATCCGAGGCTCAAAACCTTCTTCGAGCCGACCTCCTTCGACCCAGCCTTCCTCGAGCCCTCAGGCCGAGACGAGAGCAGGCCCTTACTTCTAGCCTCCCTTCCTTCACCTGCATCCTCCCTCCCTCCCTCCCTCCCGCCTCCCAGTCTCCAGGCATGAGATATTTCAGAAATATGTCACAAGACCGGGAGTACAACATGCTACTCTGAAGATGCGTTAAAAGCGTCCGATCGCCTCCTCCTCCTCCCGCCCTTCATTGCTGTGGCCCTCACTCGTGATGATGGTGAGAGTCCAACGCCTCTCGCTTGAGCTCGGCGTTGAAGGTCGAAAAAATCAGCGCCACCTAGTCGAGCAAGTCAAGGCGCCATGACGGACACGCACACAAATCTCTCACCACCGAGGCGAGGGCAATGAGGACGAGGGTGTCTCCTCGCACATCCTCGTTGGGTCCGATGCCTGGCAGGATCTTGAAGTCCAGCTGAGAGGCTGTCACGCAGATGGGAACGAGCAGGGCCTGAAGACGGCAGCATCAGACGGCAGCACAGGGAGGACGAGGCTGGCTGACCGAGAAAAAGTTGCCGCAGAGCTGCTGCGTCGCCTCGACAGCATTTTCGTCGGACGGGTAGGTCACCTACCAGCAGGTCAGCGATCAGTCGATCGACATGCCGTGCTCGTCACCTCCACGGCAAGCTCGGCATTGATCGGCTGGACAGGCCCGGCGGAGGCGCCGAGAGCGATGAGGCTGGACACAACCACCCAGCTGCAGCAGGAGAGGGAGAGAGACGGACAGGGGAACAAGAGCAGAGCAAAGAGATGATAGTCAGTGGCGAGAAATGCAACTCTGCATCTCTCACCCCGGCAAGTTCATGTCATAACCCTCGGCGATCCCCAGGAGGGATAGAGTGGAAATGGTGAGGCCGAAGCAGGCGAGCGTGACTCCCTTGTACTGCTTCGTGCGATCGACGTATCGTCCAAGGAGGATCCCACCCAACATGATGGCCACCTGCGGAACAAGTTCACACGTGCGCACAAGGAGAGAGAAGGTCGGGACCTGGAAGCCAGCTCCTATCTCATCGATGATGGCCTCCCGAACAAAACCTGCCCTGTGCATGGTCTCGGAGGTGAATGCTGAGACAACGTTGGTGACGCCGATAGAAGCCACGAAGGCTGCAAGCGGCGGCAAAAAACCCTGCAGACAGTGTGAGGAAGAGGCACACGCGTCCTTGCTGCCATGGACACAACACGAGTGAGATCGGACCTTGTTGCTCAGGAGCGATAGAGCAGTCTGCGGATACGTGAAGAAGGGGCCCACGTCCTTTCCTTCAGCCAGAGCCTTCTGTCGCGCGTCCTCTTCCTTGGCCGCCCTGGCCGCAGACGATGTCGGAGGCGTCGGCGGTCTGTCCTTGAACCAGGCGACGGTCCCTCCGAAGACAGCAAGGGACGCGAAGGTGATCATGGTTAGGTATTCATCCAGCGCTTCCGGAACTTTCCCATTGAGCATCGTGCCACCCACCACAAACGCCGTGGCAATCCCCAGCTGGTTTGCATTCAGACAAACTGCCGTGGCTAGCGCCCTCTCGTTCGATCCGAACCAGGTCGCGGACAGCTGAGGAGGGGAGCATTGGAAAAACGGCTGGGCGATTCCGATGAGGATTGTGCCAGTGATCTCAAAGAGGTAGTCCGGCACAACCCAGTCGTACCTGAGGACGCAGACGCAGGTCAGAAGAGCGGCGGCGGAGGGCAAGCACCTCACCTGTCGAAAGGAGGGAGAAACGACAGCCCTGAACGTAACGCACACCCCAGGGTCATCAGGCCAGCAGCCCAGGTGACGGACTTCTTGAGCCCGAACCTCCTGCTGACATCGGTGAAGAGGAAGCAGCTGATCACGTTGGAGAACAGGAAGAGATCGATCAGCTCGTCTGGATTGTGATGGAAGGAAGAGACCCACGTCTTCGGCCCCCCTACAGCGGCGAAGCAAGCCCAGTCCGACAGGAGGGCAAGTAGAGACAGGAGGCCCAGCTGCACCCACCTGTCATCGTAGAGGACGTAATCGTCCGGATCCTTGTCATTGTCATCGGAGGGCTTGAGGTTGGAGTCGGAGAGAGTTTCAGTGGACGAGGAGCGAAGCTGCTTCAAAAAGCCTCGCCCGGATCGGGAGGGTGCATTGAATCGCAGCTTCGGGCTGAGAGGAGAAGACGGCCTGTTCACACTCAATGCAGGACGCTGTACTCGGAGGGCAGGAGATCCTAAGAACTGGAAGCCATGCGAGCTATCAGCAACGACGGCGAGGATGAGGAAGGCAGCCCGCTTGAGGCCTTGCATGACTTCAGTGGCTGGTGGTCGATCAGCACTGCATCCCCAAACCTGGAGGAAGGAAATCAGTCTGAATGCTCGATTGCTCGGATTTTTCACTATATGGTCAACAAAAGACTCGATCGGCGGGTTGAAGAGTGTGTAAGAAGCTCCTATGACGAGGAGCACATCTAATCCCAACTAACTATCTTTTCTACATATGATTAATGCCATCCCCCAAACCCAACACAACTTTACAAGAATGCAAGAGAACGAGTGTTTTTGAGTGGTTCCACCCCATCATAATCGCTGCTACTGTAGTCTAGCTCAGACATGCCCATAACCCTCGACTTGCAAGTCATCTTTCACCTGCCCTTGCGACCCCCGCGGACTTCGTACAACATTCTCATTCCACCATTCGAGCGAGGAAACCCCGCTTCTATGGCTGAGAACCTTTTCAATCGCACAGGCTCTTTCCTTCTCTCCCCTTATCCCCTCCACAAGACCATCGCCCCATCTGCCATGCCCTTCCTTCCGCTACACTGCAGACTCAAGTAAAGTGCATGAAATGAAGGTTTCTCCAATAGCAGGGGGGGGGGGGGTGGGGGGGGGGGTCTAGATCCTGGTGGTAGGGTGAGCATTCGTTCATTTAGACCAGGGTATCCTTCTTGTAGATTTTGGTGTCCTATCAAGACTTGATATTTGTTAAGTATCACAATAATGAAATAGGGGTATCCTCCTGAAACAGGGCAAAGATCATCTCTGAGTGCTAATTCAGGGGGTGGGGGTATACTCACTTTTGAAATCCAGATATAAGGGGGCGGTGGTACACCCACCTCCTATCGAATCCGCTTTTTACACACCCCTGTATATCATCACCCTACCCCCTTTACCTGTGTGAGAGCACCGCAACTACCCCCCTGTTTCCATGGCACCACCCCCTTGGACCCTCTGAGCCTGGGAGGCCGGAACCCCTGCCCGAGCGGTCTTCAGACCAGACTCAGCAGTTACAGAACCGTTTCTGTTGCAGGAAACCACTAGGCACCGTACCGTACCGGGGTACTGAGAGTGCACCGTGAGGCCCGCGGCCCGGCCCCGGCGGCGGCCGCGGGCCACCCCCCCCCCCCCCCCCGGGCCGGGCCCGGCAGTGTTGTGGCCCAGTCACTCCGAGTCACTGAGTCACCGTCAACGGTGCCGGACCGTATGATCATCTATCGGACCTAGTGATTGAAAGACTCGAAGTACGGTATCCGATCATCGGACTCATCGGACGGCCCGGCGCCACCGTGCGGCCGCCGCGGCCCGGCGCCCCGCCGGGGAGTGACGGCTCCGGGGCCAGTTTTACTAAGCTCGTACTGCTTTTTAATTTTAAGTAAAGAAATTAGCCGCCGCTACCGGCGCAGGTGCCGGGTGGCCCCGGCGGTCCGGGACCGGCACCGATGAGGCCTGGCGCCGGCCCGGTCACGTTTGAAAAGTCTCACTGAACTCTGTTGAATCGCCAGAACGCAACGATTGAGATTATTCCCCAAGTTAGCGGGTGGGGCCACTGTACCATGGAATTCTCTATCGTAGAAATATATATTTCAGTACAATCTATTACTACGCATGCCTCCATCTGGAAGGTACCACACAAGAATTTCTGTTCTTCTATAGAGATAACTAGTACTATTGCACTACCACACTCGTTCTATGATCCAGTACAAGATTTTGTCAATCCACCGTTGTGAAGAGCACCGATCTGCTGGTACCAGCATGCGATCATTCCCCAAGTTAACACGGTACAGAGCATCGATATGGGGTTCTCTTCTTATATCACACATTTTACAAGAACTATGAACCACCCTACAAATATTGCTTATAAATATATATATTTATATATTAATTTATAAATCCGTACAAGACTTATCGTACAACATTTGTAATTATAAAACACTTTTAAGCTAACCTATCTTCCCCTTTTCCCCAAGTTCCGCCCCTTCCCCCACTCTAGTCTACCCTCACCCCCTACTATCCACCCCCTTACCCCACCCTTTTCGATCACACCCTCTTGTCGAGGCACTGTGGAACTTTTGCAAGTTCTTTCTCCCTTGAGCGTACCGGTCTAATTTTGACCCCTACCCTTGAACTTAGTTGTCCACCCTTGGCATTTTGTCATCCACCCCTCATCTCCATATTGCAACAACCGGTCAAGCCAGTCCAAAATACTCTGCAGTACCCGTGGATTTCGATGTGTTCACATACCCCCACCACACAGCGAAATAAAGGATGGGCATGAAACCCCTATTTTCCGAAAGAAAAACACCGGTGTCATCATGATTATTCTATTGACCACCGGTAACTTTCAGACCCACCCCTCCAACTTCACTCTGATGCGAAGTACCATTTTTTCTGAACACCTGTTGTACCCCTTTCGTGCATACACCCTTTGGGGTCCGGACCCACCCTCATTCCCAAGGCTAATTTCCAAACACACCACCCACCCTTTCAAGCTCTCATTAGTACCACCCCCGTTGCTACACCCGACCAGACACACCCTGGCGACCCTGCTCGTCCCGGTCGTCGCCATGCCCCGCTTGCCGCCCGGGCTCGTGGCTTCCGCTGCCTCCGCCGCGTCCTCGGTTGCTCTTGCCCTAATCGGATCTGATGCATCCTTTCGAAGTAAGTGAACCACACAACTTTGCGTTTGCTTTTCTCGTGTTTGCTCGAAAGTCGTGCTCGCTCCCCACATTTGACATGTTCAAAAGTTGCAATGGTCGTCTCGAAATTGCTTTGACTGCGTTAATGCTACTCAAAATGATAGTGCATTTCTATCCTTTCTCGCAGTGTCTATGATGAAATCCACAATGCATCGCGAATTTTCTGACGCAAATCCATGGTGTTGGACCTTGGTTCTTGCTAACGTCTTTCTTGCTAGATCAAACCAGAATAGGAAACGTGGGCACAGGAAAGACAGTTGGGCAATATTATGTGTATTGACACGGTTTCTTTCCCTCAATCTCTTTTATTTTTGGTTGGAGCTTCCGTCGAGGTAGCTTCCATCTCCATACTTCCTGGAATGTAAAGTAGTGTTATCACGCCAATTTCGGCCAGTGAAAGATGTATTTTGTTTTTTTGTATTTTTAGATGTGAGGAGAGCATCTCTTGTGCTTTACTATTATCAAGGCTGGGAAGAGTCTTTTAGTGATCTGCATGGTATTTCTGAGTTCTTTCTATTTTTGTATTCCTACATACACGAAAAGTTGTCCTTGACGAGAGTATCTCTCAATTCTCCACACACCACACATCACCGCGCGGTAATCTTTCCCGTCGTCCAACCTGCACCAATGCGACGAGCTTTCTTCAACTTCTGGATTCTGGAATGCAGCGTCATGCAGGGCCGAAGAAGGCAATCGATCATCAAGTACATCGCGTTGTCCTGCGACTTGAGCAGCCTCATCTTGGAGATCTCATTCTTGAGACGTGACAGCACGTTGCTAGTGCCATAGAGCTTCGCAATGTCTTGCTGCATCTCCGCATTACAATTCAACATTGAAACTTCGTGAAGTGACACCTGGACGATCTTGTTCAAGGCAGCCTTGCCGTCATGCTCGTCCACGGTCTTCTTGATCACAATGGTCTTCCCAGCGGCTCCCCTTTTACCGCGCGGTCCTTCAACGCCACGGGCTGCAAGCAGAGGATACATGTCACCATCATGCCTCTTGCTACACTCGCCCCTCATCTCACTGACCTCCGTTAGATCCTGCGGGGCCACGGACCTGAGATGGGGAGGCAAGGTTTGCCGGGTCAGGAAAGCTCAGTAGAGAGCGAAAGATTGCGCACCCCAGGGAGCCCTGTCAGCCCTCTAGCACCCTTCACCGGCCATCCACCGTGCTTCCATTTGAATTCGAGAGATTGAAGGCTAGTCCCGCTGCAACGAAGATTCAGCTGAAGAGAGGCAAGAAGGTGGGGGAAAGCTCACAGGACTCGCTTCTCTCGCATAAGGTCGGAAACCCTTTGCTTCTCCTTCCACAACTTCCTCTCCACCTGGTCCAGAGATGAGCCATTGCGTTCACATGCGCGTCGCGGGCAGCACCGACTCCAGTTCTTCCCTTGACTGGTCCCGGTACTTCTGCAGCTTCTCTTCCATCTGCAAGCTGCATGTGAGGAACATGAATCTGAGTGGGGAGTGTCGCCAACATTTGCAAGTCTCTTCTCAGTCACTTCGCTCTCAAGACCCAGGGAAATGTCCTTGAAGTTTCCGTACCTGCGACCATGACGCTGTCAGTGACTGAGATTAGGAACAAGACAGGTTCTTACGGGGCCTCCCATCCCTGATCTCTTGGCATTGTCCCGGATGGACTCGCCATGGCGTTAGAGGAGGAAGGCGGAGTGGAAGCTAGAGATGAATCGGCCGAACTGCTAGCGCGGCCGCCCTGTTTCCTACCCTGATTCACCGATTCAACCGAGTTCAGCTGAAAAGAGACAATCAGGGTAGAAGAAGGAGAGCAGAGAGGAGGTTGACTTGGATCGGTTGGAGAAATTGGTCCGACACTCGGATCCCCCCGCTTCCACCTGTCCCAGGCATCACAATCGTGCTCATCGGGTATTGGCGTTCAGTCGTACGTGAAGCAGTGAAGAATCCAGGAGGTTGGACTTCCCGAGCCACCCTTGGCACACTCGCCCCATACATGTCAATCGATCGTGCGGGGATTCCGTACGAGTTCTGTTTGTACGCTGATGAGGCCTGTGATACCACTCACACCGCCGCGCTGCACACTCAATGCACGGCAAAGGCACCTCATACAGTTGTTGCATGTCACCGTTGCTCTGCATAAGGGAGGGATGTGCAGCTGAGATGCTGCCGCGTTGAAAGGTTCCAGCGACGCCCAAGACGATGAAGATCCCGCCGATGATGGCCAAGGACCGCAGCATGACTCCGTCGGCACTCAGCATCCTGGGTTTCATCGGAGGCTCGGGCTGACTACTGCTCCTCCGTTTGGCCCATGAGCTGTCCATTCACTAGCCTTGCAAGAGCAGCTTCCTGCTGAGATCCCCCTCTCCCTGCACCCTTGTCTAGTGCTGCTGTACTCGCTGTCGACTGGCTCGTTTGCCTGCACTTGTCCCTGGTCGCTGCTCCACTCGCTAACTCCACTTCCCACCGCCCGACTCTATGTTGCTCAATCTTCCTGTCTATCCTCTACCTGTATCGCTACTCTCTTCCTCTCCCTGTATCGCTATCCTCTTCCTCTGCCAGTATCGCTTGCTCTTCGCTATCCTCCCTTGCTCCTATCACAACAAGGAAATGTGCATGTCCCAAGAGGCAACGAAGGATGGAGCTTGTGGAGCAACGCACAGAGGGACAGGGGTAAACACAGATGAAAATTCAATCGAGACACTAATATCAAAATCACAGGGTGGGGGGAGGCTGTCAGAGACAGTGGCAAGGTCTGGGCTGGACGAGCCAGTGTAATGAAAAGGGGGGTGGTTGTTGGTGGGGGTACCGCACTGCCTGTCGGGCGGATCGGCCATGGAGGGAGCGTGGTCGATGGCGGCAGGGCATGCCGCATGATGAATGGGAGAGGATTCCTCTTCAGGATAAGGCGGACGCCCTTGGATTCGAGCTCGTGCAAGATGAAACAACGAGCTTGCGCGACGTGGTGAGCTATGGGTACTCCCTCCTCGAACTGATGACGACCTCACAATCTCCCTGTGAGAGGGTCTGCTTTCTTCACTCTACTCGCTGTGTGCTCTTCCCTTCCATGAGTATTCGGAAGTTCCTGTCTCCGCCGCAGCTCCTCACGACATGATTCGGCTCACGACCTGATTGAGCTTACCGACCGCCCCCAGCGCCCATCATGCACCCACCAACATCACATCAGTCTGCCTGTGAAGTCCTCCAATCTCAGCCATTCTGACGCAAAACGGCGACGAGCATCGGCAGAAGCCTCGAGCCTCTTGGCCCCTCGGCTAGGATCTACTGCTTGCTCCTCTGACACTTTCAGCGCGCCCAACGCTGCCACTTCCTCCAGGGTTGGTCGTCATCTCTGCCCACGCCCCATACCTTTCCCGGCAGCACTGCTCCAGCGCCTCCAGGCTCACGTCCGCTCCGAGACTCCAGAGGAGCTGGCGGAGCTTGAGCTTGGCTTGCCGGAGCTCCTGGAGCTCGTGGGGGTGGTTGGGTTTCAACTAGCGGCGGTTCGAGAAGAAGAAGCACGCTGCTGCTCCTCGAGAGGTCTTCGCTGTCCCCGTGCCCTCCCACGACTTAGCTGTGCGGGGGGGCGGCAGGCAGGATGCAGTCATGGAGGCTGTCATACATGGAGAGAGGGCCCTGGCGGGGGATGAAGAGGTGGTAGAGGGAATGAACGGCTCGGGGGTCCTGGGACAGACGGGAGTTAGGCAGGAGGAGGAGGAGCAGGAGCAGGAGCAGGTGGTGGTGGTGGTGGTGGTGACAGGGAGAGGCAGAGAGGTACCTGACTTGAAGCGGACTCTATATATACAAGAAGTACTCGAGACTAAGTTAGCTCACAGTGAGTCGGTGACCGGCGACGGCCCACTGCGTTGCCACCGCACGTTGCGGCACAGGCTTGAACTCCGACGATCGCGGCCCCCCCTCATGCATCAGCCAGTGCGGAACAGTAGGCTGCCGCAGTGCCGGCCCAGTGTGCCAGCCCGGCAGTGTGCTGCACGCCGCCGGTCCGATGAGCCCGGCTACGCCGCTCGTGACCGTACGGGCGTCTGAGTCCCGGCGCCGACCGTCCGAGCCGACACGTTACGGTTCAACTCACGCCGGGTCTAGCACACTGGGCGGGACTTCCTCAGTGGGCGTTTGTTATAATGCTAGTTGACCCTCGGACAGTTCAAACCGTGAACCGTTTGTGACGGCGCCCTCCCCGGGGCCCCCGGCGGCCCGCGACTCAGTGACTGCCGCACGACCCGGGGACCGTCGGACCGTGGGCCCGAGGCACTGCGGCGGCGGCACTGCGCCGGGTCACTGCGCCCGGTGACCAGTCCGCGGCCCGGCCCGGCGGCGGCGGCCGGGCCGGGCTCAACTTTAGCCTGGGAATCTGCCGGGGGTCATTGCCCCCGGGGCCCCGCCTGAGACTTGTCAGTCCGCCCGACCCGTGCCGATCGGACCGCCTGGCCCAGTGGCTCTGGCCGCGGGCTGAGTGCCCCGGGCGGGCCCGGGGCCCGGTCCCGGTCCCGCGGCCGCCCGATTGAACGTTTTCATAACGGTTTTCAACGCTCGTCTCCGAGTCAGTTGAAGGCAATGACTGCCACCGTGAGCGGCGCGGCGGCACCGATGAGGGAGAGAGAGGAGGCGATGGGAGAGAGAGAGAGGAAGCAGCAGTGACGAGCAGAGGGAGGGAGAGAGCGAGAGAGGGAGAGGGCGACCGTCTGTTGCTGTCCTCGTTAATTGTTGAAAGGGAGAGGCTGAGGCTGAGAGGGCGGGAGGAAGAAGACCGTGACCTTCCCGAGCAGGCTGTGCTACAAGTTGTTCCAACTGCTGAGGCTCGAAGAGGCTCCATCCTTCTACCAAGTTTGCGGCTTCTTGTTGAGCTGTGACCCAGCGCAGGATGTCTGGCGACAGTCAAGGGCGAATGAGGTGAGCGGGAGGAGGCGCTGCCGGGGCCGCAACATGGTGCTGACCTTGTCCATAGGCTCAAGTCGGACATGTCGCAGAGGGACCTGGAGCAGGAGAGCTCGAGCTATGCGATCACCAACATCGAGAAGGAGCTGGAGGAGCTCCACAAGAAGTACAAGCTGGGGGAGCAGAACGACCTTGACCTGACGAAGAAGAAGAAGAAGAAGAAGAGCGTTGTGTCTGAGAGCGCGGTCGACGCCAGCAACAACATCGCTGAACTGAGCACGAGCATGGCGCAGACATTCCGGGGAAAGATGTCTGCGGTGGAGACCTTATCCAAGTTGCAGGAGCAGGCGAGGATGTACATCAAAAAGATAGAAGCAGAGAAGAAGAGAACCAAGGAGATAGACGGGGAGATGGAGAAGCTGACGGAGGAGACTGAGCAGCAGCGCAAGGCCCTGGGAGGAGTCCGGCTGGCGCAGCAGGAGAACGCCAAGAAGCAGAAGCAGATCAAGCTGCTGGAGGACAAGCTGGAGAAGGCGAGGGTTAAATACAACGAGGCCCTGAGCTCCAACAAGCACCTGCGGGAGAAGATCGACAACCTGAGGCGAGAGCGGGTGGTGTTCGACGGGGTGTACACGAGGCTGGAGAAGGAGCTGGCGGAGAAGAAGGAGGAGATGCACAAGATCGTGGAAGTGTCTAACGCCGCCTACGACGCGAGGGAGCGGGCGAACCAGGAGATGGAGGCGCTCAAGAACCAGGCGGAGCAGGAGCAGAAGGCCTTCGAGGCGGAGTGGAACGAGCTCGGGAAGCTGATCGAGCACGACGCGAAGATGAAGGAGTACATGAAGCAGCGGGAGAAGGCGCTCAAGTCCGGGGTGGACATGGAGGACGAGGAGAAGCTGAGGAAGAAGATCCTCAAGAGCAACCCCAACATCGCCAAGGACAAGGCAGCGCAGCAGGCGTCGCTGCGCAAGGTGCAGGAGTTCGAGGAGGCGTTCGCCAAGATTCAGGCGGCGACGGGGATCTCGGACATCGACGAGCTGGTGGCGACGTTCATCGAGGCGGAGGACCAGAACTTCTCGCTCTTCAACTACGTCAACGAGCTCAACAGCGAGGTGGAGAAGCTCGAGGAGCAGATTGCCGACCTGCGCAAGGAGATTGAGAAGCATAGAGGTCAAGCACAGAGCACAGATAACCAGGTAGGGGCCTCTTCCTCCCCTCCTCCTCCCCTTAGTGCCTCCATCCTCCATCTAGTTCGCCCAGTCCCTTGCATGTCCTCTCGTTACTGCTCCTCCTGATATCATGTTGACTCCTGGCCCCCGCTCTCTCCATCAGTCCTCTCCTCGTCTCCTTACATCTCTTCCTCCTCCCTCCTACTCCTCCCTCCTCATCCTCTGCCGCAGAAGCGCAAGGTGCTGCAGGAGCTGGAGGACAAGCTTGCCAAGACCGAGGCCCGCACAGAGCAGTATGAGACTCGCGTCAGGAAGGCGACGGAGACGATCACGGTGCTCAAGGACGGCATTCAGGATGTCTTCGAGAAGATCGGATGCTCCCAGAACGGCGTGACGGAGATGCTCGGAACCACAGGTGAGGAGGAGGAGGAAGTGGAGGAGGAGGCGAGAGCTACGAGCACGACTGAGGGGGAAGGGAGTGCAGGAGTGAAGGAGGAGGGGCAAGGAGTGCAGGAGTGAAGGAGGACGGGAAGGGGAAGGGGAAGGGGCAGGGAGAGCGTAAAGTTGTGGTGAGAATCGCGTGACTCTCGTCGCTGCAGGAGTGACGGAGGGCAACATGATGCAGTACTTGGGCATCATCGAGCAGAGGACGAACGAGATCCTCCAGATCTATGCAGCGATCCAGATGCAGCAGCAGGTGCGCCCTTCCTTCTTCTCCCCCCTCGCTCCTTCTCGCTCCTCCCTTTCTTCTTCCTATCTCTTACCTCGTTGTTGCTCCACGCTCCTTTTCCTCCTTTCATGCTCTCCTCTCCCCTCCTCTCCCCTCCTCCCTCCTCCCCTTCCTCTGACTAGCTCGCCGAGCAGGGCGTGCCGCTACAGGAATCGCTGCTCAACATCCTCGGGCAAGGCCCGACGGTGTCGGCAGGGAGCGTGAAGGTACAAGTGAACGCGCCCAACATGAACGAAGACTCGGACTCAATGTCGGACTCCGATGAGGTAGGAGGAGGAGGAGGAGGAGGAGGAGGAGGAGGAGGAGGAGGAGGAGGAGGAGGAGGAGGATCATGGAGAACTACATGACGACGGAGATGGCAATTATGCTTGTAGCAGTGGTGGTGATAACGATGCATATTTGGAATCATCTTTTCGTTCCTCTCTCCTTGGTCTCCCTCACGTTCGATGCAGGACGATCACCCTCTCTCGAGGAAGGAGCTCTTGGCTAAAGTTAAGAGCAAGGTGGAGCGAACTGAAAACTCGGCTCCGGTGAGACGAGGACGAGGACGAGGACGAGGACGAGGAGGAAGGACGAGGACCAGGAAGGAGAGGAGAAGGGGGAGGAAGATGGGGAGGGGGAGGGGGAGGAGGATGTTATGATCGTAGTTGTAGTCATGGAGCAGGAGGAGAGTTGGTGTCTTGCTGAATATTTTGGCGCAGGAGGAAAGTTTGGAATCGACAAACAAGAAAGATCTGGCAGCGAAGAAATGAAAGTTATCGCACCCGACCAAACTGCTGACATAGTTTTACTCCTCCGCCTCCTCCCCCCCCTCTCCGCTCCCTTCCCCGTCCCATCCCCCTTCCCGTTGCGCCTCTCCCTCTTCGATGAGTGGCGAGTGACCCTGTTCACACCTATCAGTTCAGCAGGGAGCGGAGGCGGAGAGGGGAGGAAGAAGCCAAGAGTGCGGAAGGAAAGGGAAGGATGGTGTCTGCAGTGGTCCTGAAGATAAATGATGGGAATGAGGACGAAGAGCAGGGTAAGAGAGCAGGAGCAGGAGCAGGAGCAGGAGCAGGAGCAGGAGCAGGAGCAGGAGCAGGAGCAGGAGCAGGAGCAGGAGCAGTGGGAGCATGGGGGAGCAGGAGGAAGAGTAGGAGCAGGAGTGAAGTGGGAAACAAGAGAGCAGGGAGAGGAGAAGGGTGACGGAGCAGGAGGGGGAGATGAAAGTGACATCCAACATGATCTCTTGCGAACACCGTCCACTCCTTGAGCGTCTGCCTCCCTGTCAGAGCTGCTCCCTCGCCCCCTCCTCCTCACCTTTCCGGTCCTCTTGTCCAGGGCTGCCCGCCGGTCTGGACGCGACAAGATGGCAGCGAGACAGCAGTGAGCCCTCGCGTTGAACTGCGGGGGATGTTCAGGGGATGGTGAAGGGGAGAGCATGCGGGAAGAGCCAGGAGGCAAGGGGGAGCGGGAAGGAGGAAGAGGAAGAGGGAAGAGAAGAGGAAAGAAGGAGGATGAGGGAGGGGGAGGGGGAGGGCTGGTGTCACGTGCTGCGCCGCCTTGCGGAGGAACTTGATCGGGAGGCTCAGCGTCTCGTCCTCGAGCTCCTTCCTCCATGCATAGAAGGCGAAACAGACCTGAGCAAGCAGATGTGAATCATGAGGAGCAAGAGAAGACCCAGAGAACCTCCAGTCTCGTCCCTTCCCTCCCTCCCCTCCCCCTTCCTCCACTCCTCCCTCAAGTCTTTCTCCTCCCCTCTCTTCCCCTCCCGTCTCTCCTCTCCTCTCCTCTCCTCTCCTCTCCTCTCCTCTCCTCTCCTC